TAACTGGCCCAGTTCCCTGACTTCAAAGCAGAACAGGTGACACAAATTGGGAGGATCATATTCCCCATTTCCTGAAAGTGGAGTGACTGGCACAGAGCAGGGGTGGGGGGCCATGTGGCCCAAGCAGGACCTGTCAGAATTCTTTCCTGGGATTGGTTTTCCTGCAACTAGCAGAGAATACAGTTCTTCCTTCCTGGGTTGATAAAGACATGATGTCGTGACTCAGGATGTGCAATGAAGGACTGACCTTGCCTACGGAGAGGTTGGACAATTTGCCCCCAGCTCTAAGGAGGTAATCTCTAAACCCTCGGAGGGTCCTGCCTGATAAGAATGTCTTTGTTTACCTAGAGGTCTTGAGCCAGACCGGATATCTGATGCTAACCATGTAATTTTTGGTGGAAGGCCTTGAGCCATGTGGTACCAGTCTTAATTCTAGAGGGACTAGAGACTAAGTTATTCACATGAGTGACCAGCCTTTCTACATAGCCAGCTCCTAATAAACTCTGGATGACAAAGTTTGAGTGAGCTTTCCTGGTTGACAGTATTTTGTACATGTTGCCACATATTGTCACTGAGAGTAATATGTTCTTTCTTTTATTATTTTTATTTATTTTCTTTTATTTTATTTCTTTTCAGTGTTCCAAGATCCATTGTGTATGCACCACACTCAGTGCTCCATGTAATACGTGCCCTCCCTAATACCCACCACCAGGCTCATCCAACCCCCACCCCCTTCCCCTCCGAAACCCTCAATTTGTTTCTCAGAGTCCACAGTCTCTCATGGTTCGTCTCCCTCTCTGATTTCCCCCAACTCACTTTCCCTCTCCATCTCCCCGTGTCCTCCGTGTCATTCCTTATGCTCCACAAGTAAGTGAAACTATATGATAATTGACTGTCTCCGCAAGAGTAATATGTTCTATCCCCACCATTCCACTGGGAGAGAACAGTTGGAAGCTCCGTGCCTTAGCATGTGTTGGGTCCTGCCTTCTGTGCCTCTTCCTTTTGCTGATTTTAGTCTACAGCCTTTCTCTGTGGTAAAACCATAACCACGAGTATGACAACTTTTTTCTGTCCTGGGAGTCCTCTACTAATGAATTATTGAAACTCAGGGTGATCTTGGGGAACCTCTCAGACATTATCCAGGACATCTGTGCTCTCCATTACTGGAGAAAGTTCTCCACTACTGGTGAAAGGCTCAGAGAGAGAAGCAGAGATGAGAAACATGAGAGATGAATGGAAGAGGTGAAAACGAGAGAAAATGGTATTGTGCCTCTGGCTCTAATCCTTGAGACCCTTCAAGGTACCTTGTTCATTTAGTTATTTCTTTGACTCTGTGGATTACCCCAGTATATTTCCAGTAATCCTGTCTCTCTCTTTCTCACTTTCCTACAAACAGTGTATACCACATTCCTGGAAGTTTTTAAGTTACTGTATCATTTTCCAATTTTGGTTATATTTAGCTAAAAATATGTCATTTTCCATCTTTAGAGAAGTGAGTGTGACTCATAGTAAAATCCAAACAAAATAAAGACTTGTAAATATTTTTGGACCTTTCAACAAAGTTACTGAAAAATATACTTATTTCAAGTAAATTAACCTAGAAATGTGGACCTTACTTTGATAGGCCTCTTGAACCCCCAAGTTATTTCTGAGCTGCTGTTAGAATAAGAGATTTGAAAACAGAACTTAGGGGCACCTGAGTGGCTCAGTGGGTTATTCCTCTGTCTTCAGCTCAGGTCATGATCTCAGGGTCCTGGGATCGAGCCCCGAATCGGGCTCTCTGCTCAGCAGGGAACCCGCTTCCCCCTCTCTCTCTGCCTGCTGCTCTGCCTACTTGTGATCTCTCTCCTGTGTCAAATGAATAAGTAAAATCTTAAAAAAAACAAAAAAACAAAAAACAGACCTTAGTATAGTCTTCTAGCTTCATACTTTTTGTGAGAATTTTCTAATGTATAATTTTCTGCATTTTGAGCTCTCCGCATTGCTTTTGTGAAACAAGAGATAGAGTTTCAGCTCTCTAGGGATCAAAGCTAAATGCTAGTGATGATGCTCAAAAGAGACTATTCTAAATCCAAAGAGACTGTTTTTATAGAAAATGTTACATTCTTCTACTACTAAATCCCAAATATTAGCCCACAGAAGAGCAATTAGCAAGTATATCATCTATAAAAAGTATGAACATTTAGACATTTATATTGTTACTATTTATCATTCTGTTGATGGAGAATGGACCACATTCATTTCATGCCTAATACCAGTCCAGGAATGATAATTGAGTTTCCACAAGTATTATCAGAATTCCTTGAGCTTTTTGGAACCAAAAGGAACTTTCTTAATTTGATAAATTTTTCTACAAACACTTAAAAATCATGTTTAAGGTAAAAGTATCATGAATACTCCCTTCAAAGTGCAGAAAAGGACAGACAATGAGGTTCCCTGTTACTATCTCTAGGTCCTAGGTATAACATTATATAAGTAAAAGAAATATGAACCATATTATTAGAATGAAAAAATGATCAGGATTATAGACAGTTTCTTTCTTTCTTTTTTTTTTTTTTTTGATAGTGTAAAATAATTTTGGAAATTTGACCGACACAAGGTCAAATTTTAAATATCAATACATGTAATTAATTGTGTGGTTAAATACCAGCCTAACTGATCAGAAAATGTAATCTTCCAAGGATTCCATGCCCAATACCCACCAGGTATTGAATAAATCTAAGAAAAGAAATAGGTGATCTGAATGGAGATTATGATACAATAGTATTGAAAAGACACAAAAAAGGAGTTATATAAATGGAGATATAGTACATAGATGAGAAGACTTATTTTCCTAAAGAGATCAATTATCCTAAAACTAATCTAAAATTTTCATTAAAATCTCAACTTTTTCTTTTCTTTTCTTTTTTTTTTTTTCTTTTTCCCACAGAGCTAGTCAGTTCATATGGAACTAGTTCATGCATCTTAAAGAGTCAGGGCCCAAAATAGCTCAGGTGCTTTTGAAGAGAAAGAATAATAAGCAGCACACACCCATTTAAGGATGCAATTATTTTAAGGCTATCATCCTCAAAACACTGTTCTGGTGGTAGGCTAGAGATGCCTGAAACAGACCCTCATAGACATGGGGAGGGGATAAGAGGTGGTATTACACACCAGTGAGGAGAGAACAGGCTTGCTTTTGAAAGGAAACAGATATAGATATACAAAAATAAACATCAGATCTTAAAATCAGGAAACAAAGCTTTAAAATTCTTTTTCTTTTAAAGATTTTATTTATTTGACAGTGGGAGAGAGAGAGTACAAGCAGGGGGAGCGGCACGGAGAGGGAGAAGCAGGCTCCCTGCTCAGCAGGGAGCCGGCCGGATGCCGGACTTGATCCCAGGACCCTGGGATCATGGACTGAGCCAAAGCCAGATGCTTAAGTGACTGAGCCCCCTGGGGGCCCTGAAATTCTTAGACAAAAATGAAAGAGAATATATTTATGATGTCATGAGAGGAAATAATTTTTTAAATATGAAACGTGTAATCCCGAAAAAGATGAATGAATTTGATTAAATTAAAATTATTCTGTGAAAACTCTTCTTCTCTTTGTTTACAGACATCCCATAATATTTTTAACACCTACATTCTAAGATTATAGATTTTAATACTTCTAATTCCTATTAAGGACATATTAAAAGAGTCTTCAAAATTAATCAAAGATAAGTAGCCCTTGGAAAAATGAGCAAAGGATATGAACATCAATCTGAAACAGGAAACCTGAATCAACAAGAAATATTTGGAAAAAAATTAACCCCTTCCCCTTGCTCTGTGATGATGGGGATGTGGATTAAAATGACAATGACAGGGGTGCTGGGGTGGTTTAATCCTTAGGCATGTGTCCTGGCTGGGGTCATGATCCCAGGGTCCTGGGATTGAGCCCCGCATCAGGCTCCCTGCTTGGCAGGAGGGGGGGCGTTCCCTCTCTCGATGTGTCTCTCTCTGTTAAATAAATAAAGTAAATAAAATCTTAAATAAAAATGACAAAGACAGATTGTTTCAAGCTCAACAGATTGCCAAAAAAAAAAAAAAAAAGAATCTGATAACACCAAATATTAGAGAAAACATGAGGAAAGGGGAGTTTTCATATACTGTTGCAGGGGCTGTAGATTAGAACAATCACTGTGGAGAATAATTTTATAATATGTATTGAAGCAGCAGAATCTCATTCACGATGACGAGCAATTCCACATCCTGGTGTATTACGTTACAGAAAATGACACCCTGTACCTCACAGCTTATGACATTGAATGATAACTGGAAACAACCTGAATGTCTGTTAACAGACGAATTCATGAACACAGTTTATTCCTACAAGGAATACTATATAGCAGTTAAAATTAATGAAGTAAAAAAAAAAAAAAGTAAAAAAAAAAATAGATTAATGAAGTACCTATCCCAGTAGTTCATTCATTGATGATCTCCACCACTGGCCTCCTTCTGTGGGGATTTTTTTTCTTATTTCTGGTTTCCTCTCTCTGGAACATTCTTTTCCCACAGATACCCTTCTGTGTCATTCCTGTGCTTTACCTGGTTTTCTGCTCTCATCTTATCTCCTTGGGAAGACCCTGGAGTGGACACAGTATAAACCATCCCACCTCCTCGACCTGGGCAATTCTTTGACCTCCTGTATTTGCCCCCTGGTGGCTTCTGTTCTGCCCTACAAAGACAGATTCTGTTTCTGGGAAGTGGGTAAGTATTTGTCAAAACAATATGTAGATATCAGCATACATTTAGATGTTTACAGGCCCCGTCACGAGATTTAAGGGCTCCCTCACATTCCTGTTTTCCTGTGGAAACAGACTGGGCCGATCTACCTTCCTACTGCAAACACTTTCCCAGAACTATGGGATGAGTGGAAACGTGAGGGACACGAGGCCGCATGTGAAACCCTCCAGCCTCCTCGCCCCCTTGCACGCTTGCTTTCCTGGGACCTTCCACAAGGTGCTCTAAATGTAGTCAAGGGACCCATCCAAGAATAAGATGGTGTCCAGTGGGGCAGAGCTGGCTGTGTCCTCTGAGAACGCAAGGAAGCACGAGCACGAGAAAAATGCCTGGGCTCAGATCCCAGTGAACTCGTCTGCTTCTCCTTGAACGTTTTGCAATATCATCTATGCTGGAAATGATCATTTAAAGCCACAGTCTAGCATAATGTTTACATCCCGAGGGTTGGAACTGGAGTCATTAAGTCTTTCAAACAACAAGGTAATGTTCAGCTACTGCTCCTGGAGGAGGGGGCGTCATTTAGCACACTGCAGGGTGCTGATGCCAACTTGCATCCTGGGAACCTGAAAGCCTTGGTACCTCTCTTTGACCTAGGGTTCACCTTGTCTTCTGTGGAGTAGCCTGGGAATATGATCTCCTCGTTTTCTTAAGTTACATAGCTAAGTGTGCTTTGAATTACTTGTGTTAGTGGAAAGATAAGGTAGACCTGGGTATGGGTTGTAGCCATATTATTTCCTAGCCACGTTACCTTGGGCAAGCTGTTTCTTGATCATCCTTCCCTTTCTTCACCTGAGTGGTAGAGTTATAAAACATCTCCTGCCTCTGGGTTTTGGGGGTTGATGCATTGAAATCGTAGATGTAAGGCACAATGCCAGTCCAACTTGGACAGGCAAAAAATCATACTTTCTGGCATAGCTTGCGTCCTACCTCTCTCTATGGACATATTAATTCTCCTTCATACAAATCCCAGGTGATTACATTGAAATGAATATTCTCTCCCACAAGCCCAGAGCTGTGAGGATTTTGTTTTCCCCCAGCTGGCTGAATGAGGTAGAGGGCAAAGAAAAGTAAGTGATGTTAATAAGCGATACCACTCATGTCTTCATGGCGATCTCCTTGTAACCAGATAACTTCCTTCTAGCTGCATGTGACAGCTGAATTTACCTAGTCCTCTAGAGAAGAAGGGGGATTGAAATGAGATGGGAAGAAAGCCTGTATCTAGATATTGAATATCCTGGCCTGGGAGAGACTTAAACAAAAATTAAAAACTTACGTCTTCAATTTTTTTTTAAGATTTTATTTATTTATTCGACAGAGATCACTAGTAGGCAGAGAGTCAGGCAGAGAGAGGGGGGGAAGCAGGCTCCCTGCTGAGCAGAGAGCCCGATGCGGGGCTCGATCCCAGGACCCTGGGATCATGACCTGAGCTGAAGGCAGAGACTTTAACCCACTGAGCCACCCAGGCGCCCCAGAAAGACATAAGTCTTCATTTTGAGGGATGGTACCATAGCTGATATTCCGAGTCATACTGATAGACCTCAATTAAACATCAACCAGTTTAGAAAACCCCTTATCTGGGGCACCTGGGTGGCTCAGTGGGTTAAGTCTCTGCCTTCAGCTCAGGTCATGATCTCAGGGTCCTGGGATCAAGCCCCGCATCCAGATCTCTGTTCAGCAGGGAGCCTGTTTCCTCCTCTCTCTCTCTGCCTGCCTCTCTGCCTACTTGTGATCTCTGTCTGTCAAATAAATAAATAAAATCTTAAAAAAAATTAAAAAAAAGAAAGAAAATCCCTTATCTGACGTGATTGCCTAACAACTAAATGAAAGAAAGCAGATGAAGATCACTTTATTTTGATGAAAACACTCACAATAATTAAAGATTAATTTAAAGTAAAGAGGAGTGAGTCTTAACCCCCTTCTCTATTCTTCAAAGCCTCTGGGAATGCCCACGGATTAAGCAATTTTAACAACACACTGATTTTTAAAACATTCTCGATGGGTACTTGGGTAGAGCTGTAGCTTGGTAAACAGGTTGGTTCGCTTGTTTAATGCCCCGATCTACTCCTGGTGACTTCCTTCTCTTGTCCTTCTTATATGTGCAGGATGTCCTCCTCCGTCTTCAGTTAATTCATGTTGAAACTGAACCTTTTCAAGGTAGTCTTGTTAATCATCATTCCTGAACATACCTCTTCTAACCTTTATATAATCTTGGGCTAGAACAGTGATTCTCTAGCAAAATAACTGGGGGTTATTTTGCTCCCTACCCAGGGGACATTTGGTAATATCTGAGGCCAGTTCTGGCTGTCCCAACTGGGTGAGAGCCATGCTAATGGCATCGATTGAGGGAGGCCGGGGAACATACCGCAAAACACAGGACTGCCCCCCACAACAAAGACTTAGCCAGCTTAAAATGTGAAAAGCCTGGAGGTTGAGAAACTCTGAGGTGGGGTTACTACAAGCTTTTTCCATTAAAGCTGGACATTCCGGGGAGTGAAAGATGGTGCCTTTAACAATGATGCTTGGATAGCTGGTATGACCTGGGACTTAGAGTTGCTGGTATATGGGATCTGTGGTCCCCTGTCTTGAATTTGTTTTCTTTTGGATTGATGAGGCATTGTTGGTAAGTATTGTTTTAATTTGCTTTCTTGACTTGCTGTTAGACCTTTTTTACCAGTTCAACTCTTAGCTACCCAAAGACAGGAGTAGGAGCTTCAACCTCTGTATCTTTCCTTTCTCCTTCTAGGACTTTCTCCAGAATACCTACTTGATAAAGCTTCTTGACTGACTGTGCTTATTTGTAATCTCTGCTCACAACTGGGTCCTTGACAAAACCTACTATAAACTTCTCCACTATCAATTATACATAAAAAATGTGGGTGAAATGATGGAGAAGAATTCAACAAATAGCATTGCTCATAATGGAGAGAAGATTCTACCTTCTACAATATGTAATTTGATGAAATATGCTAAGCAAGGTACAATCCCTATAATTGGTACACATTTAAATTACTCATGTTTACTATAAATGTTTTCATTGTAAAAAATGTGCTTCTATTGAATTAGATAAAATTTTATTATTGAAAGCATGGTTAAACAATTAAAACGAACAAAGATATATGAAGTTCCCCAAATCTTGATCAGGATCGAATAGATATATAATAAATATTAGTTCTGTTTGCCTCCCATTACAGATAACACCTAATTTTAAGCCATCTAAATTGTCTTATAAGTTTTTAAAGTATCGATTCTAGGGTATTTTTGAAGTTACCGAGATGGTTAAAATTGGTTGGCATAGGGACACCTGGGTGGCTCAGTCAGTTAAGCATCTGCCTTCAGCTCAGGTCATGATCTTGGGGTTCTGGGATTGAGCTCCTGCATTGGGCTCCCTGCTCAGTTGCTTGTCCCTTTCCCTCTGCCTTCCCCTACCCCCACCTGTGCACATGCACTCTCTCTTTCTCTCAAAAAAAAAAAAAAGTAGATAAAATCTTTTTTTAAATGATTGGTATGATAGTTTGTGGGGCTCTGTAACAAAGCATCACAGACTGGGTGGCTTAAAAGACAGAAAGTTAGGGTCTCACAGCTCTGGAGGCTGGAAGTCCAAAATCAAGGTGTTGGCAGCTCTCACTCCTTGTGAGGGCCATGAGGAAGATTCTGTCTCAGGCCCCTCTCTGTGGCCATTGGAAGACATCTTCTTCCCTCTCTATGTATCTCTGTGTCTGATTTCCCTTCTGTATAAGGACATCAGTCATATTAGATTAGGACCCCCATCCTGAAGAACTCATTTTAACTTGATTATCTCTGTAAAGACCCTGTCCCCAAATAAGGTCCTTTTTTCAGATGTACCTCAACATATTCATTTAGGGGGTGCACTTCTACCCATCACAGATGATAAAGAAATGCCAATAAAGAGATTAGGGGTTACATTTAAATTTTATACAAAGAATAATTTTATAGTACCTTACTATAAAGAGAAAATTGTGGAGTCCCTACGGGCTGGAAATATGAGTGATAATCTTCAAGTTGTTGTGGGCCACCGGAAAATACATTATAGCAGTTTATCCTTTAAGATACGGAAAAGAACTTTCCTGAGGAAATCACATAGATAAAAATGTGAACACCTTTCTTCTGAGCATCTCAAAATACTTTGCCTGTCTTTTAAATTTTTTTTTTTCACCTCTCAAAATCTCTTGGGTGGGATATGGGACATCCCACAGGTGAGAAAACTGAGGTGAATGGAAATTAGATCATTTAGTTTCACATTATCTTCCCTTTCTAAACGCAGAAGTAAATTTGTTCTCTGCATTTGCCTTATTGGAGGTATGTCTGCTTGACTAGTTAGAGCATGAAAAAGATTATGGGATTCCAGGACTGTTGATCTTTAAATGGATTGTATTCATGAAATAATCAGGGAGGGGGCAGGTCTGGAGTGCAGCCCAGGGATCTACCAGGATGGGATCTGAGCCAGGTGAGGGCTATGGCATTCTCTGAGCGGGGATAGCCCCTGTCTGCCCATTACATCAGGCCAGGAAGAGAAAATTTAAAGATATATGCCTACCTTTATATAAACTTATGTCTATTATATATAATGCATATATGCATTACATATATGTAATATTTAAATTTCTCTTCCTAGCCTGATGTAGATACATACGATATGTTCTAGGAATATATTGTGTAGATATATTATAAAATGTGTATAATATTTTGTATCCCTCTGTCTGACAAGAATAGTGGACAGGGACCTGTCCCCCTCCAACGCCCCCGCCCCACTCCCATCCTACAACTCCGCTTGCTAGTGGACTTTAGGCAAGCGCCTTTGCTTCCTGGACACCTGTTTTCTCAGCTGTAAGATCAGAATATCAGCTTGCATGCCCGGCCAGGTCTCCTACAACATCACAATCTGAAGCGGGAGGGAGATTGTCCCAAGTATTAAAAGCAATTCTCTCGCGGCCAACCCACGTGCTGAATGGACCCTTAAAGCCGAGTAATTGGGTAACCTCGTCCCATCCCTGTCGCTTACCAAGCCTGGTTGGGGGTGGGGACGCCTGAGTATTTCCGGAACAAAATGAAGAGTTTTCCAAGACGCCTAGCGCTGACCTCCTGGCCTTGCCCACCAGCCGCCCCTCCTCCCCTCCTGGTACCCCTTCCCCCGACCCCCATCCTGGGACGCTCATCAGCCCCGCGGAGTGCTGGCCGCAGCGGCCGCGGGGTCGACGCTGTGAACTCTCCAGATCGGAGAGGAAAAACCTCGGCACCCGGGGTTTGCCTTTTCCCGACAGTTTCAGCGACTGTCAAATGCAGGGGAGTTACAAGGCGCAGGGTCCAGGACTGGGCTATCTACACAGAGGCCCCTTTATCGGCCTCACTCCCTTACGGCGGGGCGGCCTCCGCAAGTTATCAGAGTGTCATTAACGGGGACAGCTGCTGGTAAACAAGGCGGATGTCGACACCAGCGCCGCAGTCCCCAGGAATTTAACCTGAATCTGTCCCTTTGCTTAAAGGAGCACCACTCTCCTTCTCTGGGTTGCGGGCATCATTAATTCATCCCCGTCAACGTTCCGATGGAAGGCTGGCATTGACTCGGGGAAACCCGCTGGGATCGGAAATTAATAAGGTGCTAGGGACATTCACCTTAGGTCAATTCGAGGGGACACGGAGAGAAAGAGAAGTTGCTCCGGAGTTCCCCTGCTTAGCTGGAAACCGATCCTACATATTTATAAAGGTGAAACTGGAGGGCTGCCAAGCGCCTGCATTGAAGTGATTAACAAATGTTTCTCTTTAAGTGGACACCTCTTGTTCTAAATATATTTGACAAGAATGCAAAGAGTCATCTGGAGGGCACCGAGGGCACCGCTCGGGCCTTCTCTGGCGCGGCCGGCGGGGATCGCAGGCCCGGCCCGGCCCGCGCCGCTCCCCGCTCGGTGCCAGCCGAGTTCACGTCGCCGGTGGGCAGGCTGCCAGCGCCGGCGGCTCCCCGCTGTTTAACGACAATGGATTTACTGCTTCTCTGCATATTGGTGTTATTTTGTATAAACAAGGTTAACAGTCCTTTTAAATTAAATGCACCACCTGGTGACTGAATGGGTGACCTTGCCAGCTCTTTTCGCCTGGCTCGGAGAAGCCCAGGATCCCGCTCGCATTTTTACCTGTAGCTCGGGATTGGAATCTTCCTCCCTTCTTATTTAAAGAGGGGGAGCTGTCCTCCCCCTCGCGCTTTGACCCTGCCGCGGGCGACCCGCGCGCCGGGAGGTACAGGTGCGCGCGGCAGGTGAGCCCCGCGCGACCACCTTGCGCGGTGAGCAGGTCGGCTGCGGGCGGTGCCGGGGGTCTGCGCGGCGGCCGCCCGCCCGGGAGCTCCGGGACCGCCCCGGTCGGGTGGTCGGTGTCCCAGGAGAGTGACAGCCGGCCCTGTGGGCCCTGCCAAGGCTGCCTTCAAAATAAAGATCTCCAGAGGGGGCAACACCGTGAAAAAGGTTCTTTGTGTTTCACTCTAGCGTGGTATTGATCTAATATAGGCCTCGGCACTTTCCCCACCCTCCAGGAATTTGAACACCTGGAAAAATTCTCCCGGCTTTACATGTGAGAAATTTAATGGTGTAAACAAACTCAGCAGGAAGCCCCCTTTGATATGGGAAGTCGGTGGTGCCTAGCTGAACGGCTTGAAAGACTTTGCCTGGGAACGTCCACAGCGATGTTGAAGGATGACTCGGAACTGTGTAGGAAAATGCAGACAGGGAGCACTGCTTTAGATGCATCTAGAAACTTCGTCCAGAAATTTCAAGCAGGAGACACTTAGGTTACTCATTGAATGAAAGGCATCTCCTCACTCCCTCCTTATCATTTGCCAACCCCCCTACCCCACTCCCCAAATAGGGCCGGGATTAGTCGGAAGTAATTGCCTTCCATTTTAGCCTAAATTCTAGACCGGTCTGGCAGCCCCATTGCTATGCAAAGAAGGAAATCAGATCCGGAGACGTGCAGTGACTTCCCCAGGGTCACCTGATCCAGAAGCCAGGCCCCAGGCCTGTAAGTCCAATGCAGTTTTTGCTGTGTTCCCACGGAGTCCCTGCTCTGCCTACCCAGAATGTGCAGTGTGAGCCAGAGCCCTTGGAAAATTTGTTTTTTTTTTCTTAGCAGCATAAAAGTCACTGGTTACATAGCTTCTGCATAAGTTCTTAGAAGTCCAAATTCCAATAATGGAAATGTCTCTCTAATTAGGCAGAATAAAGTAATTCCAGTAAGTGATACAATTTTCATTGCTAGAATTCTAACATTTTTATATACATTTTATTAAAAAGAAGTCTGAATACAGATTTTTTAATACATTTTAGTGAGTGAGGTAAAATGTGTCCCCTCTTCCAAAATTTCCCTAAAGAGTACATTAAATGTGTGTGTCGTGGGGGATAGGGGATTAATATTAATAATATTAATTTTTATTATATTATTGTACATTAATAAAATCCATTGTCCATAGTCACAAAGAGTATTTCTCAGTAAGTCTGTTTCTAGTGGCATGAAACATTTAGTGTGGACATACAGGGTGCTAGGTTTTGGGGGCACAGAAATGAACAAGGCACCATCAGGAGCTCGATTAGTTATGGAAAGTCGGAGGGATTGAATGTATGTGTAAGAAACCTCTGTGGGTAGGGTGTGGGGTCCCAGAGCTGAAAGCTCCTAACTCTGGGTATCCGAGCAAACTTCACAGAGCTAGAAGTGCTCTACCCTGGGCAATTTCATGTGTGTTATTGTGAAACAAGTGGGAATAGGAAGATATTTACCTTAGTGATTACCTATCGTGATTACTGTTTGCCAGGCCTTCTTGATACTCGGTCTAATCCTCCTAACACCCCAGGAACTGTTATCGACTCCACTTTACATGGGGGGAAAGTGAGGTGTGGAGAAATTCAGTCATTTGGCCAATGTTTCACGACAGAGAAATGCAGACCCAAGCATAATCCCATGCTCTTACGCTGGATGATTCCATGGGCATTGTATGCACATAGCTGCGTATTACTTTCTTCCTTTCAAACAATCTATTTTCCAGGAACTAGTTATCACAATGGAACACATAACTTAAAAGTTACTCATTGCCAGACACTACTGTGAACTTTTTATACAAGCCTCTCATTATCTTCTCGCCCCCAAACCCTGTAAAATAAGTATTTCCTCACTTCACAGTTAAGGGAACTGGGCCATTTATCATCATCATGGTCAGCAGCAACATCTATGTCTTCCTCATCACATTCAGTAAACTTATCGCGGGGCACCTGGGTGGCTCCGTGGGTTAAAGCCTCTGCCTTCAGCTCAAGTCATGATCCCAGGGTCCTGGGATCAAGCCCCACATCAGGCTCTCTGATCAGCGGGAAGCCTGCTTCCTCCTCTCTCTCTCTGCCTGCCTCTCTGCCTACTTGTGATCTCTCTCTCTGTCAAATAAATAAATAAATCTTAAAATAAATAAATAAATAAACTTACACAACTAAATCCACAGAGTATTTAGAATTATTGGATTTTGGGGGACAGGAAAAAACTCTTGACTGTTCTTCTCCACTGTAAGACCAAATTCCCAGGCTTTTCACCTAGAAGTATAAGGCACAGAGACTGTCATGGTAAACACCCAGGAAACAAGACAGGCCCATGAAGACATGGGCATCTTTACAGTAGAAGGGGGCTTTGCAGAGATATTAGAACAAAAACCACAAGAGAGAATGACAGTTGAGAACTGGGGTTGTCAGGAATATAAGAGATAATTTCTAGTTAATCCTAATGTAGCCCTTCTTTAGGGCAAATAGGTTTCTGTTATGTTGTAGAAGCTGCTCTCAGAATATGAAGCTAATTACTTCACGATAAAGTATTTTTTCATAGATTACTCACCACTGTGACCTCCATCCTCCACATTGGTCTACTGATACAAATATGGCCCTCTTACTCCCCTCACCCCCACCCCCTAGCAAATCTACATTGAGTCAGAAGAGCTTACCACTTCTCTGAATGTCAGACAATGTCAGGAAAAGAAGAAGTGTTGCCTGGTTAGTGTTTGGTTTTGTTTCAGTCCATATAAGGCAGCTCTACTGATTTTTCCAATCACACAAAAAAATATTATATATTAATAAAGAAAATTGGGAGAACTATAAAGAAAAAAAGAGAAACTCATTGAAAATTCTATGGCTGAAAATACTTTGGCATTTTTCTCTTCCGGCCTTTTTTCACATGAAATCTGTGAGGAAAAACTAAGACCACTGTCATGTGTTTTGTTGATGCTACTTTTTTACTTCGTAAACAAGTTTCATTATCAAATATTCATCAAAATTTGTATTTTCAATGATTATATAACATTCATTGTAAGGATTTATTATAGTTTTTATAATACGGGTTAATAATTCCTCCATTTCTAAGTATGTAGGTTATTTCTAATTGTTGCTCTTAGAAATAATCTTGTACATATATTTTGGCTGCCTATACAATTTTCCCTGGCTTGCATGGATTGTTTAGAAATGAAGCTATTAGATAAAAAATCGTGCACTTTTGCTGTATCATCAGGAATATGAACATGCCTAACACACAAGTGACTTTGGGGGGATAGGATAAGATTCAGAAGTTGAAGGGTATATAAATTTTAATGCTATATTTGGTAACTTCTGCAAAAAAAATGTTAAAAAAAATGTGTGTGTGTGTGTGTGTATGCATATTTTTTCCCTAAACTTGAAAATTGCTCTGGACTGCCTTCTGTATTCCAATCTGAGACTTCCTTTGTATCATATGTTGCTTCCTTTAAGGTTGGATTTCTGCCTTTTGGATGTTAACAAGGGGGAAAAAAGAAAACATAGTGGAGACACTAGAGCTTCACATAACCCACCATAGTTTGGAATTTCTCTAAGGGAATTTAGAAATTCTAGTTTGTCAAGTATCTCGTCCCTTTTGTTTTTTTCAAGAACACAGTCTTGTGTTCTAATTTTTCAGGAACAGCAGAAGGTTGCTATTAAAAGCCAACAAACAAACACACACACAAACAACAACAACAACAAAAAAACAACTTTCACCAGAATTTATGAACTCTGGAGGAGTAAGCTATTAAGTAGTACATTTATGGCCCCAAAGAGACATTACGAATTTCTAAGTCATCTAACTCTGTCTTGCTTCATGGCTAAATGAACTTGCAGTGCAACTTTAAATGGAAGTTATGTTTGACCGTGTTCTATAAGACTTCTTTCAGGTTGGGAGAAAATGGAACCATTATTTGTTGTCTGAGCTCCTGGATCACCCGCTACCACTTGCTTATCTCTACTGGGCTCAAGCTTTTCCTGTGGCATGCCCCCTGTTCATCTACCTCTCTGCCTCCCCCATGGTTTGCTGGATGCTCCCGGTGAGCCTGGTATCCCGAAGGATGTTCGTATCCGCTGTGGTTGGGTGCTCTCAGCTTTCTGCTTGGCCTTGGGCAAAGCCACGGTACACTCCAACTCCTCAGCTCTGGCCCCAATGCCTTGAGCTTGAATACAAATAACCTTGGAGTGGGAAGCTTTTCTACTCAACTACAGACATAGCTGAAGAGATTTTGCTTTAGTGAAATGAAGTGGAGCCTGAATTTATCTGGAAATGTGTGGAATCAGCAGAGAGCAGTAAACACAAGTCTAGGGAAGTGGGAAACCATTGTGAACGATTTCGTGTTTTTCACTCCCAGCGGGCATTTGGGCATTATTGTAAAGAACCATGTTTTCAAACCTGCCAATAACAGAACAGATCTTTATTCATTGTGGATGAGGCTTCCACTGGGAGAGTTGAAGCTCTCGTTCCTTTTTCGCCAACTAGAGAAGCTCTTCAGAGTTCCAAGCTTCTGTTTTCTGACTCCCATGCCATAAAGGGAGATGTTAGATATATTTTCCATAAGATAACCTCAGGGCTTTCTGAGGTAAGTCGGACAATTTCTATGGTGGCATAGAATGACAGTTCACCAGAGAAACAATCCCAAGGAAAGGGCAAATATATGCATTCTGTCCATTTGTCTTTCCTCTGTGTGTATTGTTGCAAACAATAGAATCCACTCAAATAAGTTTAGGCAGAAAAGGGATTTCATAAGAGAAATGGGTAGCTCGTAGAATCACTGTGGTGGGGGGGCAGATTGCTGTAGAAACAGATTTGAGGCTAAGTTTCCGGAAACATATCCCACATCAGATCACAAAACCACAGCATGAGTAGACCTTTGTCATTGCTCCTTCATGAGCTGAAGACTCCCAAACTTTTGCAGCTCTGCTGGGGCCTCCAGTGACAGGTGCTAATCTTGCAGTGGGAACTCAATGTTGCAACCCAAGACTGGAGGCTTATGTTGCCACACATACCCAGAAAATGGAAACTCCACCAGGACTTCGAATCAAATGCCCCTAGCCATGTGTCTCATGCAGGCAGCTCCATGGGAGATGCAAGGGGAGCTGGGGATTCTGGTGCTGATTTCAACCCTGGGGTTTGGGGGCATAGCTGTATAGATCCTCTGGGTTTGTGTTCCAGCATTCACATTTATTCAGCAGGACGGTGCCTTCCAAGTTCTAGACAGGAACCTGCAGCCTAGCAAAGTGTTTGACTGTCTGGGCTTCAGAATCAGTCAGACATAGGTTCAAATTTAGGCCCAACTTGTTGCTCTCATAGTGATTTTAAGAAGTCACTTGCCCTCTCTTCCTTTCTCCTCTGTGCGTCAACTTCCTTATCTGCAAAAGACACTGACTACCATGTATCTTAGAGGTATGTGATAAAAGTTTAAATGAACATCTACATCAAACCCTTTGTACAGTTTTTTTTTTTTTTTAAGGTTTTATTTATTTGACAGAGATCACAAGCAGGCAGAGAGGCAGGCAGAGAGAGAGGAGGAAGCAGGCTCTCTGCTGAGCAGAGAGCCTGATGCGGAGCTCGATCCCAGGACCTTGGGATCATGACCCGAGCTGAAGGCAGAGGCTTTAACCCTCTGAGCCACCCAGGCGCCCCTGAATAGTTTTTTATAACGCCATGAACATTCACAATCTGGTGGTTGTCATTCCAATTACTAGTAATGGAATATAGGTATATGGTTTGGAAAGGGGGAGAAACCCTTATTGCCAAAGATCATATTTTAATAATAATAATAATAATAACAACAACCATAATCCCACTAGTAACAAACCAGCCTCTTCCCAAGCCACCCAAGTTCATTTTAACGTTTCTTGTAAGATATTCCAGTTCATACAAGGAATTATATGGCTGAACAATGGGAAAATTTGAGGTCAGATGCTTCCTCAACTGTTTCCAAAATAAACAGTTACAGGAAGCTCACTCCTCTCTGCCTTAAAGCTTGGGAGGGGGGATCATGGAGGAGGCTCTGTTACTCTGAGTTCTCTACGGGAGATGTGGGAGCAGATCAATCCGTGGCCAAGTGTTTTAGCCGCATGTTTATTGTGTTTGACAGCGCTGACAATGTAGTACGCACTGAATAAAATGACGGATGCACCCATCTCTCCCTCTCATGCACCCTGCTTCTATGTTCCTTTTGAACCTCCTCAGTGAAAGCCAGTCATACAAAAAGCATGCAGGGTGGGAGTTGAGATCTGTCGCGGCCAAAATTACCCAGGAATTCCAGATTTCCAGAGTCGCAGAGGGGAACCTCACTAGCCAGAGGAGAAAGAATACAAAAGACTGCATGTTCAGTAGTTAAGAGTCAGATCAACTGGGAAAGGCCTGCCTGGCCACAGAATTACATTTCTTGGTCATCAAGCCTTGTCTCCTTCCCATGGTGTGGGCAGCTGAAGGACGAAGAAACAAGAGATATCTACGTTTACTGTAAGTTTACATAATACAAGGCAAAACTATTTTTTGATGCTTCTACTCCACTGTTCAAAATCCTACTTAGATGCCATCCCGTTCCCCCTTGTGGCCGATACCCAGATGTTTCCACTTGTGATTAGGGCAGGCAGCATCCAGATGTTTTGAGGGGGCGGAGGAAGTTCTTTCATTTGTGGCAAATTTGAGAGGTGAAGATTCATTGACTCATGTAATAGTAATCTTCCTACCCCCGGAATTTAGAGCTGGGCTGCTTGCCCACTTTCCTAGTTCTGTGTGGGGTCATCTCACTGGGATGGGACAGTGGGGGAACCTACAGGGCTGGGATTGTGTGGGCTCCCAAAATATCTGGATTTGGATTCGCCCTAGGCAACTCCTTCTGTTCTTTTATTTATTTATTTTTAATTTTTTTTTTAAGATTTTATTTATTTATTTGACAGAGAGAGAGAGAGATCACAAGTAGGCAGAGAGGCAGGCAGAGAGAGAGGGGGAAGCAGGCTCCCCGATGAGCAGAGAGCCCGATGCGGGGCTCGATCCCAGGACCCTGGGACCATGACCCGAGCTGAAGGCAGAGGCTTTAACCCACTGAGCCCCCTTTCTGTTCTTTTAAAGGTCTTTTTGTAGACAAGGAGGAAACTTCTGGCCACATCACCACCACATCACTAGCATCCCACGCTGGTTCTCCCGCCATCCTCTCCAAAGATTTGCTCTGGATTCATGGAGCTCCTGTTCTAGAAACCTCCCAGTTCTCAGCTCACTAGAGCAAGAGATCTTGAACCAAGCAACTCTTTTCTGTAGTTTCTGAATCTTTCTTCTGCTTACCTGGGATTCAGTTTTATTTCATCTTCTTGCCCCCCTTCCCCCCACCCTCTCCCTGCTGGGCCCTCCTGCCTTGTTCACTCTGTCCCAGCCCCACTGTTCTGTCACTTGGATATACTTTGCACACTTGTGCCTGGATGAGCGGGTGGATGGATGAGGGAGGGTTTGCCTCAGTTGTTCCCTGTGTCCAAAACGTTCTTCCCCAGATGTCCCCAGTGGCCCCGACACATTTCACTGGGGTCTCTGCCCAAGGGTTCCTTTTTTGGAAAAACCTTCCGTTTCCATGCTGGGTGAAATATCAGTGCCCACCACCACTTCCTGATTTCCTCTCCCCACCTGACAGGGCAAATAATGGTTTGCTTAATTGATCCTGTCTCTCTTTCCCTACTAGGATCTAAACGCTGTGGGGGCAAGGTAGGTGTCTGGTTTGTTTCTTGCTGCCTATCCATGGCCTAGAACTCTACCTCATTCAAGTTGGGCCCTTTACTAACAATATTGCTGTTATGCTTCTGTTTTTATGCAGTTTATGAAAGATTTACTCATCCTCTGTAGACATCAGTGGGACTCCTATTCTCTTATGCTCACAATGGTTCTTTTCCTGAAGAAATAGATGACAAATAGGGGTGCCTGTGTGGTTCAGTTGGTTAAGTATCTTGGGTCATGATCTCAGGGTCCTGGAATCAAGCCCTGCACCAGGCCCCCTGCGCAGCCAGGAGCCTGCTTCTCCTTCTCCCTCTGCCCTTTCCCCTGCTTGTGTTTTCAAGCTCTCAAATAAATAAATAAATAACAAAATCCTTAAAAAAAAAAAAAAAAAGAATTAGGTGAGAAATGGAGTGAGCTGTTTCCCAAGGTTTTCAGAGCAGATATTCAATGGTCAGGAGGTAATTTAAGGACTTTGCTTTTTTGCTGCTGCTTCAGAAAGAGTAAGCACCTCATTTAAAAAAAAAAAAAAGAATAACAATTCTGCAGGTATAATGCGAAGCATAGTGACTATAGTTAATACTATTATATTACGTATTTGGGAGTTGCTAAGAAAGTAGATCTCTTAAAAGTTCTCAACATGAGAAAAGAAATTGTAATTACGTGTCGTGACAGATGTGAGCGCGACTTATTGTGGTGATCATTTTGAAATATGAATCATTATGTTGTACACCTGAAACGAATATAATGTTGTATGTCAATTATATCTCAAAAAAACTGACTAATAGAGAAACTACATCTCTATCATCTGAAATGACTCTTTAATGTCTTTTTTTTCAAGAGCTGAGCTTACAAGGAAGCCCGAGAACATTTCTGTCCCTGCCCCGACTCCATTCATTGCCCTTCTGGGCCCAGGAGGGCATCAGATGCATGACCTCTACCCTGGAAATTTCTCATTCAAGTGTCTTTTTTTCCTGTAAATATAATCTGATCTTTTCCTGAAATTTAATTTTAAATTTGTGACAAACTTAAATGCCTTTCCTTTGTTTTTTTTTTTTTTTTTCCCCACTTTCTTTTATTGGTCACATTCTGTAAGAATCTTCTGCACTTTGTAGTTCATGACTAAACTCTGAGGTTGCTTCCTGGCTGATTCCTCATTGCTCTGCTTTGCTGTGAAGACACCAAAACCTCAACGTAAGATCCCAGGCAATATTTGCAAACCAAGTGAGCCATCACTGGGGCCTCCATTTTAAAGCACAGTAGGGTGAACTTGCTAACTTCCAGCCCTCCATCTCGAGATGGCAAGACACTGTTTTATTACCATTCAGAATTTCTTGAAAGTTGCTGGGATATGTTTTTGAAGAGCATGATTCCTTTTGAGTGGGAAGAAACAATAAAGATAATAGGGCGAATGTGTTTCCTAAAATGAACCATTGTGTTTCCATTTTGAAATTCTCTGTCAAAATGGTTTTCTTCTCAACAAGTTATAGTTTTCTGTGTAGGAAAAAAAGAGCAGGGATCTGGCCAAAAAAAAAAAAAAAAGGAAGAAGAAGAAGAAGAAGAAAATTGTGCACAGCTCCTTAAAGAAACACAGGAAAACCAAGTATTAGCTATGGATAAACTGACTCATTGACCCAAGTGTTGACCTAAATTCCCTCTGATTATATTAAGGCCAAAGGAGGGCACGTTAGACCTGCAGTAATTTCCGCCATCTTTGACACAGAAATACACTGACTCAACATCTTGTTATGCTGGAGATTCACATTCGACAATTGCCCTTCAAGAACAGAGAAAATCCTAGCAAGTCACTGTCCTTGGTTGAATGATGCCCA